AAATCATTCCATTATCGTCATCAAACCAAAAAGTTACGCCAATTCACAAATAATAAAGAAAAGAAAATCTGTGGAGAATTATAATGGCTGACGTCTTGAAGGAGCGCGGTATTTTTTAAAAATCGTCTACAGCGTCAAGTTTGGTTTCAGTTTATATGATTCGCTTGGTTGAATCCTTTTTGTCTGTACAAGTTCAAGTGAATTTACTCAATCTGTGGAAGAAGAAGAAGAAGAAGAAGAAGAAGAAGAAGAAGAAGAAGAAGAAGAAGAAAAGAGATGAAAGAAAAAGGTGATGGAGAAAATAAAGAAAAAGAGCGAAAAAGTAGCAAGAAAGCGGGTAAAAGAAGAACAAGGGAGTCAAGAGGCGAAAGAAGAAGTAGAAGATGATGGAGAAAATAAAGGAGGAGGAGGAGAAGAAGAAGAAGAAAGAAGTCAGAAGATGAAAGAAGAAGTTGAAAAAATAAAGTAAAAAAAAAGGAGAGTAGTAGAAGGTGAAAGAAGAAGTCAGAAGGTGAAAAAAAGAAGGAGATGATAATGGAGAGAATAAAGAAGAAAAAGAAGAAGAAGAGGAGGAGGAGGAGAAGGAGGAGGTAGAAGAAGAAAAAGAAGAAAGGTAAGTGAAAGAAGAAAGAGGAGAAAGAAACCAGGAGGTGGAAGAAGAAGTTGGATTAAATAAAGAAAAACAAGGAAAGAAGATGATGATGATGATGATGATGATGATTGAGAAAAAGAAGTCAAGAGATGACAAAAAAGATGATAATGGAGAAAATAACGAAGAAGAAGAAGAAGAAGAAGAAGAAGAAGAAGAAGAAGAAGAAGAAGTAGATAGAAATCAGGAGGTGAAAGAAGAAGTTGGAGAAAATAAAGAAAAACAAGGAAAGTACTAGAAGAAAAGTGGGTGAAAGAAGAAGAAGAAGAAGAAGAAGATGATGATGATGATGATGATGATGGAGAAAAAGAAGATGAAGACAGGAGGTGAAAGAAGAGAAAAAGAAAAAGAAGAAAAGTAGAAGGAAAAGAAAAGCAGTTGAAAGGAGAATAAAACGAAGAAGAATAAGGAGAAGAAGAAAAAGTCAGGAGGTTAAAAAAGATGATGATGGAAGAAGAAGAAGAAGAAGAAGAAGAAGAAGATGATGATGATGATGATGATGATGGAGAAAAAGAAGATGAAGACAGGGGGTGAAAGAAGAGAAAAAGAAAAAGAAGAAAGGTAGAAGGAAAAGAAAAGCAGTTGAAAGGAGAATAAAACGAAGAATGAGGAGGAGAAGAAAAGTCAGGAGGTGAAAAAAGATGATGATGGAAGAAGAAGAAGAAGAAGAAGAAGAAGAAGAAGAAGAAGAAGAAGAAGAAGAAGAAGAAATGATAAAATGAAGAGTGAGAAGTCAGAAACGAGATTAGGCAAAAAAAAAAAGGATAAAAGATGATTTTTAGCCAGGAAAATAAAAAGAAAGAAGTTATTTAAAAAAAAAAATAGAGACGAAAGGGAAAAAGTTTACAAGGTAAAATAAATAGTAAAAAAGAAAGAAAAATAAAAACAATTCAAAGAAGAAGTATTAAAAAAAACTAGTCTTACAAGTCCTCAAGTTCAAGTCCATTTACACAATCTGTAGCCGTTTTTTATAGTCCCTAAAAATGTAACACATCGTGTTTCCTTCGTTTACAGTTGTCTGCGTCTCTGACCTTCGGTTACCCTTGCTTCGGTGATTCTAAGAGTCGGCTGTTCGGTTCCGTTGGATTCACACCCGTGAGATTTAACGAATAACCTATCGAGAAATATAAACCACTACATTATAATAGCTATTCGTCTTTTATTAAAAGAGATGTGCGGATGGCGTTGCGTTTATTGGCGCGGAACATGGAATCGGCAAGCTGAGTTCAAATCTCGCTTAGTCTGTTTGATTGACATTACTATAGCTGCCCTTAAGGATAAAGTCATAAATAGATCTCCTGTACACATCACCTATCCAAGCGTTAACTAGAAGCATCGATTGAACTCTCTATTCTTGGTTGGCAGCAAATCGAAGAAAAAAACTATTTTGAATTTGAAACCTTCATGAATGCATCGGGAAACTACTCGTCTCTCTCTCCAAAGAAAACATGGTCGTTCACAGATAATAAATAAAAGGAAGCTGTAGAGAGTCATGATAACTTGACATAGCATAAAATAAAAAATATTTAAGTAGATTAATGATTTCTATTCGATATTTAAATATGAATCATTTCTACACCCGAGAGTGATCATGGCTCTCCACAACCCTCTATTCTTTGTAATTCTTACTAACGTTTGCCTTTTTTTTAATCCCTCCTGTCGAACCCCATGAAAATTGTAAAAAAAATCAATAGATTTAAGTAATGTCATTAAAAATCTCAATCGACTCATTTTCATGTACAAAGTAGGCTCCAGATTTGAATTGATACATTTTCATTTATTAACCAATCATTGACGTTATCTCAAACACTCTTACTGCTTTGGGGAAAAAGCCTTCAAATTTCAAACGATCATATGTTGTCTACTACCAAATTTGAAAGATCGCTCCAGGATATGATTAATAACATTCATCGGAAAATAATTCGAAGTTAAAGCTTGCAATCAAGAACGTTTACGGGACTATAATACTAGAAAAAAACAAACTTGGTTATGTATTATCGCGAAATTTCTCCCGTTCGGGAACAAGTAACAACAAGTCCGATATGAAGGTTAACAATGTAAACAAGACAGTGAAGGAAATTAATGACAACGCTCGATGTTTATAAAAATAAGATAAACTTTATTTACAATAAGAACCACAGTTATTTATATATAATACGCACGCCCCGACCAATCCTGTGTCGAACCTGGTCAGCAGGACTTGATCCTCGGGGTCGTAGGACGATGAGTGGATTGCATGGTCAATCCCACGCTGGCCGATACTGGTCGCCGGCCGTCCCGGTTCACACTTTGCTCCGTCAATGTTGTGTTTCTTGATGACAGAGCAGTGAAGATCGAGTATCGTCAGTAATCATGGCGCTGGTTCGAAACACGGCGAGGCTGTATTATGAAGGAAAAAAAAAGTAATGTTCTCACAAACGAATTAAAAAGAAAGCTTCTTCGGGTCAATATTCGATTTGGTTCATGTAGTTCTTTGTATAGTAACCCTTCCCACTAACATCTCTATAGTAACACTTTGCCTATTGGTGCTAATTCCACAAAGTCGGGGGTTCTCTTAGCAGCAAGTCTCGTGGATTTCAGTAACTCCTTCGTCTGCTCTTCGCCACTTATCTCTCTGGGTCGCCTAAGCGCTCTGCTTATATTGACTTCGACTCACGACTGGAGTGGGGCTGACGCTATTTGGGGACCTGATGATTCCTCAGGCTTCTGTACCAATTTGAACAAGTGTTGTTTGTTGTCTGGTTCGCAATATTAATTATCTTTCTAAATTTGGGAGAACCATTCCTCCTACTGGTGGTGATTGCCGGTATCGCCCCGCTCTTATTTCCAAATGGGCGGAGGCAATTTCTCCTTCTTCCCCCTCCTCTCTTAGTATTTAATCTAAGCCTGCTGCTTCGGATGTCTCTTTGACAAATCTGATTTTTAAACGATTAGGTGAAAGTGGGGTTCTTACTTTTAATCATTGATTGTAATTATCATAATTTTCAACAACGAAGTTTCTCACTCCCTGATCCTGTTTATCTAAGCAGACATTTACCAGCTGTTCCACAGTCCTGCTATTAGCAGAACTCGTCTTCATATCTTTACGCTTAATCGTATTCATGAACCTTAAAAGTCCGTTTCGTATCTCAATTTCTTCGAGCGAATGATAAAATCCTATTCCTTGATTTGTTTACATTTCCAAAATCAGCGAAGCTATTTCCGCTCTTTGACAGGCAGACATAAATCAGTTTCTTGATTCTACCTTCGTCTTCAAAATTACCAAATATTATAACTCAATTGACCCCTTCTTCCGTCTGGTAATCATGAGACATGTTTTCGTAACTTCCACTTTAATTAAGCGGACATAATTCAATTTCTCAATTTCTGCTTTTGTTTCCAAAATTCTCAACTAATCTCGAATATACTTTCACTGTTCCCCCTCGGGCCACGTGGGTCGAAGCATTCCACATAGACTTTGATAATATATTTCCCAAACCCATTAAAGTCATTCTTTTCAGGTCTGTCTTTTCTTCAAGCTAGATCTTCGATAGAAAACCATTTCTTTCTTTCTTTCAGTTCATATGTTATTCCGTACTTTTAATCCTCTCCGTCTGTTCCAATTCATATTCTAAATTAACTCTTTTCCTTTAGCAGTGTCACATTGTGTCAAAATAATAATAGATGAATTTCACTAATAACGGGTTTTAAAGAATTTCCCCAGTCGTTTAATATCAAATATATAATAACGTGATTTTTGTATTTACAAGCAGCGAAAAAAAAAGGGTAACTTAGATATTTTCATCAATTTGAAACGACCACTAGGGGTCTTAATAATGGGTTATAAATTTAATTTAACCTTTTAAAATTTCGGCATACTCTGCTGGGTATATAAAAATGCATGTTTAGTCTTTCAAAAACAGCCTTTTCGGTGAAAATCACACAGCCTCGTTTTGTGTCGTAGCTGGTTGTCATGACGACGTATCAGCGAGTTAAAGGAGAAAGAGATGATGACGTCACTCCCTTCTGTTTAAAGGCACGCTTTAAAGCCTGTTGTCGTAAACTGATCGAAAGGCGAGAATTCGTTCTTTTAAAGGCGTGGCTGAACACAAGCGAATCAATTCGCATACGCACGGGAAGACCATGTATGAGCAAAATAAACAAATCAGTTACCTTTTCTTTGCTTTTCCAGCTAGTATACAAAATCAGACGATAATTAAACGTCTGCAAAATATCATCAAACTAGCAAGCAATATGTCTGCTAAAATTTTGACATTTGTATACGTTATTTTTTAATTTTAAACTTAATTTAACCTAGCTCTCCAATTCCAAATTTCGACTCGTTATCCATTACGCCGCTCATACATCCAAGCTTACAGCATCCTGGCATTCTCAAGGGGTCACACATCAAGATACTAACGAGGCTGGACGTTGCTTAACTTCGGTGATCCTACGAGAACCGGTGTTTCCACGTGATATTGATATAAGCCTTCTTATTGATATAAGCCTTCTTACCAGTGTTTCTCAACCATTTTTAATTCAACGCACACTTGTAGAATAATTAAAAATCTCAGGCGCACTTTTAATTTTAGTAAGTATTAATTAAAATTTGAAAATAGGAAAATAATAAAGTCTCCTGAAATAAGGATTTATATCTAAGACATTACGTTGTATATTTAAGTCCGCTTGTGCGAAATCTGTGTTCATGTGCTTTGGCAATTTTTTAAATGTTAGGACTTATATGTGATAAACATACTCTCATTTCTACATTAATGTATTTAATATTTGATCTATTTTTGCATTTAATATTCGTAAGCGCAGAAAATCCTAATTCAAAGAGGTACAATATGGAAAATAAAATACCTTGTTTTATTATCTATTGGAGCATATTCTTCTTAAATAGAAATGCACCTCTCGAATGAAAACGTCGTCAAATGTATGAACACGAATCAAAACGAGGCAGCTTCGAATACGCGCATGCGTCGGTTGTACGTTGGCTTCTGTTGACGCTGTGAATGTCCACTCCATTAGAGTGCGTTCGGTCTTATTTCTAAATATTATTTCATTATTATATAGACACTAGTGTAGTGTTTAGTAACCATTATTTTTTTTACTTCAGCGCACATTTGTAGAATAACTAAATCTCAGCCACACACCTTAAATATTAATAAGGTAAAATTAATCATGAAATTTGAAAATAGGAAAATAATAAAGAAGTCTCCTGAAATAAGCGTTTATTTTTAAGACATTACATTCTGTATTTAAGAATGCTTGTATGAAACCTGCGCTTAATGTACTTTGGTAATTCTTTTTTTTTTTTTTTTAATGTTAGACCTGATCTGTGATGAACACGAATTCATTATCTTTCCCAAAGGTTGATTTTCATTTAAAGGGATTTATGAAGAATCTGCTATTGTTTTTAGAAATGAAGATAGTGACACATTTAAATCCCTGTTGAGGCAAAAGGAAAAGGATTATCCACACCTTCTTAAAGATGAAAGATTTAGTATCTAGTTTAAAATATCAAATGACAAAGACATGTGTTGGGATTGCTATGAGTTTGAATTTGTTATCAGAAGGTTTTTTATTTTAAGATGATTAGTTTACAAGCATGTTCACCATATTAATCCGCAACAATATAGAATATAGACATTAAAAAACGAATCAATCACAAGGCAATTGATTAAGAAACACCGATTATGAGATTTCAATAAAACAACATGCATTTATGTACAACTAGCAGTAGAGCCCAGCGTTGCTTCTGGGGCACAGGCCGGGGATGTAACAGTAAAGAGATATATCAAGTATCGACCATCATAAAGACTGAAAAATAAAATTGACAATGTCTTCTGTTTGACGCCAAGAGATTATTGTTTAAGGTTGACGGACACGCATGTCTTAATTAGTTTTATTTTATTTTATTTTTTTTAAGAATTGGTTAAACCCAAACTCAATCGTTATGAGTCTACCGATTGAATAGAACTTTATTATAAACAATTGTCTTGTAAATGGAATTTTAAAGCATTCTGAATGTAAAAATAAAGAAAAAAAAGTGTGCAAGACAATAAGAAACACTACCTGCCAAAAAAGAAAAAGTGAAGTTTTATTTGAAATCAGTTGAAAATGTAGGAAATCCGATCCCATATATAAACGAACACAACACACACACACACACACACACACACACACACACTCACTAACAACCTGGGTTTTATAATAAGTATAACTCGATATTAATAAGTATAACTCGATATGAGTTGTCCCCCTTCCATTAATGCCTCTTAATCGTGTTTTCAAGTTGATTTCATACAAAAACATTGTGTTTTTCCAATTTTAGGCGCTGTCAGAACCACCGCAAGGTAATTTTACATAGTCCTGTGAAGTTTTGTTGAAATCGGTTGAAAAATGTAGGAAATCCGATCCAATATATAAACGTACAGACACACACACACAATCTGCGTTTTATAATAAGTAAGATTAATATACAATTTGAAAACTTGTAGTTTGATAATGCAAGAAATTGACCATTGATAAATTGGGTTTCTTATTGATTTACAGTTCGAAATTGTTCAAGTGTTTAAGAACTGGTCAAACAGAGTCAAATGGAAAAAATTATTTCTACAGAAATTTGTGTAGTTTGTATGCGTGAATAAAGTTTGTCTAAATTCTCCAGAGTTGTTTACCTTGGATTGTTCTGTGTTTGTCTTTGTTTAAAATACAATTTCTATTTTAGTAGTGTGTAAGAACACTTTTCCTAGAAAGTTGTAAGTGAAATGTAAGAGATTAATGTTGATGTTTGAGTCAGCAGTTGACGCGCGAAAAGTATCTTAAGTCAAAATAGTGACACGCCTGGATTTGTATGTCATCTCTCTGAAGTTTATTGACTGACTGGTGAATTGGGTCGAGATGGTCCTTTTTATTTGTTTCTGGAATCCAAAATAGGCTCCAGCGAAATGGGCGCGAAAACAGTTTTTCCACAATTGTTACATGTCTCGACCAATAGAAAGTCGAGATTTGCAATGCGAGGTGTTGGTTGGTTAAAACTGATTCTGATGGAAGAGTGTATTTTATCTCGGAGGTGAGTATGAAATATGGACGATTCTATAAATGTCTTAAACATGGCAGCCATGTGTTTTTGTTATCTCTAACTTTTTAAAGATAAAGATTTTTTTTAAATATAAAAATAATTCATAAATTACTCACCTGTTAATATGGGGCACACCCGATTACCTTTCATGTCGTATTAGTGCACCCCATCGCACCGTTTGAGAAACACTGCATTAGATGTTGTTTAGAGCTACAAAGGATAGGTAGTTGCAGAAAACAGTGATCGCCCACCACCTGAAGGGACACGGCATATAAATGGCAAAGAAAGAATCTTTCGAATTTAATGTTAGTTGAGTAAATAATCTCGTGTCTAAGGTTTAAATAGCTTTTGGTGACAAACAGCTCTCCTTCGAGAAGGTAATGAATGCTTATAACGTAAGAGGTTCAATGAAACGACGATGTTGACGAACGAGTTTGTGTCCAATTGACGTCTTTTCGTTTGTATTTCTTTAGCATCTTTCTCCATCTTATATGTCCAAAGACCAGACGGAACTAAATGCAATTACTTCCAATAACTTTGAAGGCGATTAAAACTCGTTATGTGAATTGCCTTTGCCTGATACTTCCTTTGAAAGAAAATCAAACGAAAATGATCGTCAATCTTGTCTTGCAACTCCTCAGAGAAGCTTCAATTATTAGATCCTTGCATCAGACTACGCACAGTAGACATCTTAGCTATAACCTCGCTGCTGCCAAGCTGGTCTAGCGGATCCTCAGTGATTGCTCAGTTACTACAGCCTTGAACCAAACTAAGCAAAATAATCACCTTGACATAAGCATATTGTTGGCAACCTTGTCTTCACCGAATGCTCATTTACTACAGATTTGTAATTGACTAAGCAAAGAGGGCACCTTCCCATAACAATTGTTGGTAAGTTCGTCTTACAAATCCTAACTGAATACTCAATTAATAAAGCCTTAAACCAGACTAAGCAAAATAAGCAATTTGCCATGCACATATTGTTTGCAAGCATATTTTGAAGATACTCACAAAATGCTCAATTACTAGAGCCTTGAACCAGACTAAGCAAATTAACCACCTTGGCATAAACGTACTGATTTCTATGTTCACGCTATTGTTTCTTATACCAACAATGAACTTTCCAATACTCTCTCTCTCTCTCTCTCTATATATATATATATATATATATATATATATGTATGTGTGTGTGTGTGTGTGTGTGTGTGTGTGTGTGTGTGTGTGTGTGTGTGTGTGTGTGTGTGTATTTTCGGTTTATAGCTGTCTGAACTGTGAATGTGGACATGAGTAATCCTTTAAATGTTCTGAGATTGAACTATGAAGGCTTATATTTCAGTCTCAGATAATTTAAAGGAACACTCAGTTTAGACAGATATTAGTCGAAAATACATCAGTGCTTCATCGAAATAATAATAACAAGCAAAAGCTTATAATTCTGAAAGCCATTTATATAAGAGAATTGCGACCAAAAATAAAATCGACTACGAGTATAGTAAAAAAGCTTTTTAAATGTTTGCAGCAGCAAGGTGTTACATAACAATACTAAATTAAAATACTATAATTAAAATATCTTAAAAAACATTTTTTGAAATCTTTTTAAAAAAAAACATATAAGTTACATTCCTTGCATAGAGGCAAAAATATTTTGAATTTACGGTGTTAACACATCCATAGATATGTAACCCCTGAAAATGGTCTCAGATGAGATCGAAAGTACTTTGTGGAAAATAAAAATTATTTGAAAGAAAATTTTGGAATTTTTCTTTATCAATTTTCTACAGCCAACAAGAAATTAATTCGTGGACTTGAAAGGATTAATAAAAATAGACATAATACGTCTAAATTATTTACCCAAACATATATATATATATATATATATAATAAAAATGACATTTGAAGTGATAATATATGCATACTGTAGATTTCCGTGTATAATTCGATCTTTAGATAAGACGAGGTAAAAAAAAATATAGCAAATTAAGAAATAACAAAAATATAGCAAAAGAAATAACAAAAATATAGCAAATTAAGAAATAACAAATCTCTTGCGAATACTGATTCTTCTTCCGCTTCTTTTCCTATATCTTAGCAATTACAAACAGCCTGGTGTACTAATGGCCATTTACTTATACTTTATCGACAATCACAAAATACTGCTAATAACAATACAATAATGTATTTTTAATGATAAATGAATATTATGTTATCTTAAATGTTATTACTGCTGTAATTGACACAAACATGATGATTACTGAGAGTTTAGCGAAAGATAAAGGTTTGTGTGAATGCAATCATAAGTCGATGTTTACATTTTCTCAACTGAGCTGACATAGATAGAAGCTAATTTCATTGATATGGAATTATTCTTCGAATAGGCAATTTATTAT